AAGTCGCCACCATGTTTCTACAGTAGCCCTAAACGGACAAACTGCTCTATACAGCGCGTTTTGTCACTTTGTTGTTCTTGCGAATAAAACACTGACACAATGATGAACAAGTACATTAATATTCGCAATAACATCGATTTATTAAATAATTAAGTAAATATAATTCCTTAATTTACCTTTGTAAAGAAATCTCATTGCTCTCTGCTGTCTTTACCGACGACATCTTAGTCCTGTATCGGCCACCGTAGCTTCTCTAAAGGGAGGAGTGAGCAGGGGACTGCGTCGTTGGTTGCAATTCGCAACCTCACTGCTAGATACCGCTAAAATTTACACACTGCACCTTTAAATATGCAATTTTGAATACAGAAATATTAAATGATTTAAATAACTGAAATTATATGCTAAAAATGAAACTAAATCCGCCAGCAGGTGGTGGCAAGTCACTAATTTTATCACTGAATCATTAATTCAATTAATTCGTTCGAACGGCTGATTCATTCAGGAATGAAGCAAGTGACTTTATGAATGGGTAATCATGAATCACCGACTCACTAGATTCGTTCAAAAACGCACTTTCGTTGAATGAATTAAACACAGCTGTGTTTGCTTTTAGAGATGCAGCGGCTGAGCTGTTACTATATTTGGAACTATTTTCGTTGAAGAAATAGAGCAAAATCAGGCAGTACTTGTTTATTGAACTGTTGTATTAAATCAATATCACATTTGCAAACTCCCTTAATAACTATTAAAAGTTGTCACTCTCCTTATCACGATCTGTGGGCGCACAGAAAATGAGAGCGCGTTCTCAAGACTTCTCAAGACTCAACAGCACGTGCAAATGATATGTTCCGTCATCTGTCATCGTGTTATAAGCGCGGAACCTGCGGGAATGAGTAGAATTGTTATTAATAGCCGCAATCCCGCGCCGAAATTCAAGTTCTGCTCTGTGTTCTCTGCAAATAACCCGATTGTGAAAGATGCGAGCGGCGTCACTATGTTGTCACTGAGAAGCTGCAGCCGTGGCGGGGATGATTTTCGGCAGAACAACAACAAATGCGCTAAATGTTTCTTTTCCCCTCATGTTTTCCAATTGACGGAAATCCGTCGTAGACTTGCTGCAATTAACGGAAATCCGTCGTAGCGACGGAGAACTTTAATCCCTGTTAACATATGTAATTATTGCAGGTTTGCCTCATATTCTGAGTTTGCATTTCACTGTTTTTATTTATTTTGAGGAATACTGAATCTGTTTTTTGTGCAAGTGTGATGAGTAAATGCATGTTCACATTAGTCCAGGACTACAGTAACATCATGTTCACACAGCGCACACAACGCCTGATTTCTCTCAACATGAGGACAGGAGAGCTCTTAGTCAATACATAGGAAAACAAAGTAACTGGCGTTACTTATTTGAAAAAATTAACTCAGATATTTCCTTGTAAATTAAAAAGCAATGCATTACTTTATTAGTCTTTTGAAAAAAAGTAATCTGATTACGTATACATATACATATATATATATATATATATTTTTTTTTAACACCTCAGGTTTATTCATATTGAATTTGGTGCAGTTACTGATATTTCTAGACCAGAAAGTAAGATAAAATTGTGATAGCTTTCTGATGGCTCAATTAGATCTTTATAACAGTACAGTATACTACTTTCATAAAATGTAAGTATCAGTAAATATCAGTTGTCACTGTAGGTTTTTTGAATTATAATAAAAAGGCCTTTTACTTTCTAAAAAAGTATATCAATCAGACAGCATAAGGTATGTAGAAGATCGCATACAACAGGTTTTTCAGCAATGTTTTGGTCATGTTGACAATTTGTTGATAAGAGCGCTTAGCAATCTGCAGATCAGATATGACACAGTAGGGTTAACATACATACGTTTGTTTACACATATGTTTACCTAGAGAATTTACCATAGTTATTCCTTCCTCTTTTCTCACAGAAAAACATACTTTTCCCCTGAAGAGACAGTCCGTTATCTAATCTGCATTATTCCAGATGAAATACAGGATTTCCTTTGGCTCTTGAAATACTGGGGAAGAGGCAGCTTTAGAGAGATACTGCCTCAGAGTATGTAAAAAAAAAAAAAAACTGTGATGCAGCTGATACATCCGCAGGGGCAGTGCATGAAGACATCATATCAAGCGCCAGTACCAATCCTGATGATTAAGCCCATCAGTAAAAGTGACTCTACCAATGGCACCAATAAGTGCCAGTACAGGGGGGCAGATAGCATGGCACTGCCCAGTGACAAGCACCCAGAAACATGGCGCATTGGAGCGTGTGAGCCAACTCTCAACACCTCATTTTAACAGCCTCTAGCCATCCGTGGATGTCTTGAGTGTGTATGCGTGTATGAATGTGTGTGTGCCATCACCCGCGATGGACTCTGACAGGGCAGGAGAAGGCCTTAAAGTGATGTGGTCTTTCTGGAGGGCTAATTCAGCCAGAATGAAACATCCGATTATGTACTCCCACACAGCAGACCAAAGCCACGGCTGATCACTTGAAATTAGACTCGAGCGATACAAGGAAACAACATGAGGTCGAGCCTTGACCGTGCTGCATCTGAATCTGTATTCAAAGTAAAACACTAACAAAATAAGCTGGACTATTATAATGATGCACGCATACGGATCAGTGACGAGAAGCTCATCTTTTCCATTATCTATTAATTTATTTAAAAATACAATTCATATATACAATGACTTGACTAAACCTATTCTATGGCCAGCATGTTTTTAATTTTTAATTAAAATTAATTAGATTTTATACATAAAGTCAAAAATCGGTGATTCAACTGTCATGAAAATATAATAATCATAACTGTCATAATATTATATTAGTTATATTATATTTATACTATTATATTATATTTACAAAAAAACTTTTGTAAAATATTATGTGGTGCAACTCATATTTATATTTACTTGAAAATGTATCATTTGTGTGTGTGTGTGTGTGTGTGTGTTTAATTTTACCTTAAAAAAGTACTAAAAATGATATTAATAACAACTATTATAATATACCCACCCATATTGGTAACACTTTATTTTAAGGACCTAACCTCATTATTAACTAGCTGCTTATTAGAGTGCATATTACTAGCATATTGGCTGTTTATTACTACTTATAAAGCACATATTAATGCCTTATTCTGCATGACCATATTTTAGATCCCTTAATCCAACCCATACCTAAACTTAACAACTGCATTACTAACTATTAATAAGCAGCAAATTAGGAGTTTATTGAGGGAAGACTCTTAATTAATAATGAATATGTGTTCCCTATTCTAAAGTGTTACCCACATGTTCAATAAAAATGAATAAGAGTAAATTTCTAAGAATCTGTGTGTAGAGATGTTTCCTTTTCTTTATCGCAGACACTCTTATTTCTTATTGACCCGTGTACCACTGAGGTGCTCATTTTGAAAGTCAAAGGAGTCAAGTCACGACAGATGAGAGTTGGTAGGCATGTTTTGTAATGAAGTGCACAACAGGAGCTGCAGTAGACACCGTATCAACACAATTTATTTCCACTACAGCTTGTCGCTCAAATTAAAAAAGCGAAACCTATACACAGAGAGAAAAAATATTAGCGCCATCACATAATGTCTGGGTCACAAATGAGTGGGCAAACTGTGGAGCTCTTTCAAAGTTCACTGTGCTCATAAATTCAGACGCTGGGCCGTCTCCGTAGCTAGCATTTGTCAAAGTGCAGTTGATGTTTGTTTTATGTGCTATTCTATCATGTTTAAGTACTCCAAGGCAAAAAAGAGATCAGATGATTTCGTATTTTATAAACAAATATTGTACCCTGGAAATACCATGGTTATGATACTACACTGCCTAAGATGTGAAAACTTTTACTTTACATGTCCTAATGGTTTACCTCAAACAGAATGAGGTAAAATACAAGAAAAGGCCAATTAAGAAAAAATGTTCCAACTCTCAAACCTAACTTCCGTTTAATTTTAATTTACTGAATATGAATAAAACATTTTCATCAACTCAAGCAGCATGAAAAAAATGTGTCAAAAAAAGAAGCTTTTCTGCAATGATATTGTTTAACAAACTGGTCTAATGAATGTTGCCAACACACATTCTTCAACCTCCAGACAGTCTCTGCTGAACTGAGTGGCATCCCAATCAACTAAAACACTATTAAGCTTTGTAAAATGATAGCCATTTGTTTCTGAAATCTTTTAATTCGAAGTGCTCAGACTGACACTGCCACTTTCAGAAGGTTCACAACACGCACCGAGGGCACAAAGTACTATTCATAAATGCCTTTGATCTCACGTTAGAAAAGGAGAGGAAGTTCACATTTTCCACGAATTAAATTTTCAGACCATCCAAGTGTCTGTTCTGTCTTTTAATAGAGTGAGCCGTGTCCTCATTCACCTCGTCAGAGGCTTTGTGTTAACGGTAATCATTAAAGGAAAAGAAGCTGCTCAGTAATTACATGCTAGCGCTTACATACTAATCACTGCACACTCGGCTGACGGAGATGAAGAGAGCCAAGCGCCAGGCACTGTGATCATGTGCCATGAATTGAAGAGTTTAACCTGATTCTTTATCATTTATGGGTGACAATTAGGTGTCAGACTACAGCATTCTGAATTAGACTATGGCTTGATATAATAAGACAAAAGCTTAACGCTTGATTCCTGAACAGGTCATTTGAAAGAACATTTCCTCCAGATTTCACAAAGGGCTAATTTCAAGTGTCTAGTACAGGAAAATTGTGCCTATTACTGTGAAAGATTTAATAAGATGGCAGAATATGGCCTCTATCACAGACATGGGAGGCATGAAGTTGATCAAATAATGTTCAAAAGAGCCTTGTTTAAACTATCAAGACACACACAAAAAAAAAAAATCAATAGAAAGAAATTATTTTCAAGTGAAATAAATAAAAAATTTAGTGACAGTGCTACCTCAAACAGGCAAAAAATATAACTGGATTTGTGGATGACATTATTTCAAAAGGTATTAGCTATATGCCCTGCATTTGGAAAATATCCCAATGCTGAATTTCTCTTTTCGTCATTATCGAGAATTACAATTTCGAACAGTAAAATAAAATCCTCATATATACGGTTTACTGGAATGGGTTAGCATCTTACCAAAAGTCCCCACATTTCAAATTAGCTTTCCATGTCTATGTATTTCCATTTGTGGGTAAGAGATGCTTCCTGCTTAAAGTGTAATGCAACGCACAGGTTCTCCTTCATTTATGGGTCATATACTGTAACACGCATAATTCCATACCAAACATAAATTACTTGAATATCTCTTCCTCGGTCACTGAATTAAGCAAAACAGACCTATCAAGTAAGTAAACAGATCAAAATAATAACAGTAAAATAAAGGCACAAATTGCTGCCTAGTTTTGTCTTCCAAAATTACGGCACACGGAAAGTAAAATAATAGGCTAGTCTGAAATGTTTAAAAGTACATCTATGTCCCTTTTCTCTCTTCAATACGACAGTAGGGATCAAACAAAATGCATAAACTAGTGACAACAATCTCAAGACCAGCATTGTGACATTTCAAGGTTGCATATTTCCTCTCTCCGACTCATTTCTAGCAAAACACAGCTGGTCCAGCTGAAACCATGCGAATTAAGATCTGAAGCAACTACTCTGTATCATATTGCAGCATTTACAGCAAAGGCTGTGATATTCAGGACCATATTGATGGATCTAAATAAAAAAAGTACTACTGGAATATTTGAATGCATTGGATTGTGTGTTAACTCTCATTTGTATCACTTATCTGCATGTATTTTATTTGTCCACTATTGTTAACATTTCTTTGACCACTGATTAATAATATAATATAATAATTCTGGAAATCTTTTTCAATGTGTTCCTTATTTCAGCTAAAAATCTGACTGCTGTTTGAAGGCAGAAGAAGATCTTGATTTTATTCAGCAAATTAAAAAAAAGCACAAAGAAGCTAAAGCCACACTTTAAAATGTCATAGTTTCAGTGCAGTAATACAAATAATAAAAACCAACTGGAGGTAATTGCTCATTTTTTGTCGATGTATGAAGACAGTTATTCTCAAGTATCCTAGTAGAGTAACCACGGGTGTAATTCATCACAGTAACTGAACTAAACTGTAATGTTTGACAAACAGAAAGTCTCTATATACTATTTTTGAATTGAATATCTATAGTTTAATCATTTCAAATCTAATAAACGTATTTGTGTGAAATACTTTGCTTGCAAAGTGTGCTTACAAGCTTTGAAAATCTCGCTTGGTTTGATATGATGTTATTTAACGCAAACAGTGTTCAAATTCCATTTGGGCCACTGTATGCGAAAGCTGTAAAGTTGCATTCATACAGAAGACTACTCTTTAGTTTTATATTTATTTATTCATTACATTAATTCGCATAACAGACACAGCAATAAGAACCAATTAACTTCAACATTTGTTTTGCAGAAAAGAAACGCTAAGAAACATTTCGATGACTGCACAACCGCATATATTCATGTTTGCCTTCAGTTGATCGATAGATCAGCAGAAGCACTCGTAGCTAGGTTTTAAGCCAGTTAAGCAGGCACAAACAAACATGCCTTCGCGTGTTTAATTCAGTCTTACCTCTTCCTGAAAGACACAGCGCGTGTTTACGTAATGACGTCACTGTGCGTGAGTACGCTCTCCTCCAGCGCTGTACCATGAAGTCGTTTGCAGGCGTCATGATGTGCTTCGTAGTGTGAACTGTGCTGACGACGTGGGACAGCTTTTGTTAAATTCACTATTAATTAATCGTTTTAATAAGTAGTTTTAATTTATAATATAAACATATTTTGTTGATAGTAACACATTTTTATATAAATAAATGCATTTTTATGCTGGAAAACCCATGTCATATCAGCTTAAGCCGGGTTTTGAAACATGGTAGCTGGTTTGTGGTCCAAGGTGGTCTACTAACTCTAACTTGCTTGATCAAGGTCTAAAAGGTCGATCTCTGACCCACAAGCTGAAACCTGTCATTTGAAGGTGGAATTTTTTTCATGTGCTTACTGAGAGCCGTTATATGTGAAAGCTTAACCATGATGTCAGACAACTGATTTCCTAATTATTTAACTAACTATTCCTAAGTATTATCTTCAATCATTCATAAATCTTTTTTATTCATCCTTTTAGACTCATTGATTGATTGATTGATAAGAGTGGTGCTAATACTACAGTAAGTGAACACATGTAGTAGTAACTATAACTGCGGTACAATTAGAAATGTTGGTAAATAGGTAAATGTTGGATATATATATATATATATATATATATATATATATATGTATAATGTATAAAAATATATAAATATATTTTTTAATAATTGCCATAAATGTACTGGGTCTTTTATTTATTTGAATGTGTGTTTAATATGTGCTTAGTGTGCAGATGTCAGTTTTGGTAAAGTACAGTGTGGTCATCAGCACTTACAACGGTCCCTTCAGATAATCACCTGAATGGAAACAACTACAGCTACAGTCTCAGACCAGTTCAATTAAACTGCTGCTACACTGAATTTAATCTGCATTTTATAGTTACCATATTGTTTCATGGAAAGTGTACCAAATATTATCATTCAGTGTCAGAACATATACACATTTAAGTGGTTTTCCTACGTATGCATTTATTTTCCAAATTATACATTACCCATCAAACGTTGTACAGCAGAGAAAATGTGTATTGCAAAAGAATGTAGCTTATGCATACTATGCAATTAAATTTTAGGGCTTTTTTATACAGTAACCTTAGCTTCTAAAATGAAATGGACTGTACATCCTTGCGGGAGAAAAGTGTCTTGAATAGTTCCTTGAAAATTTAACTTGAGATGAGTATGTGAGTTGAGAAAATTAGCAAGGTCATGGTTAATGGAATTCCTTAGAGTTCCAACGTCGAGACTTCACAGCCAGTTTGGCAGCCTGCAGCTGATGTTAATTTAGCGCAACCCAACATCATTCAACTTCAAAGAGACTAATAGAAGGCTATCATACTGTGAGAGACTTTGATAAGGTGGATTCTATTGCTATGTGTAATCCACATCAAAAGGTAAAGGTTCCAGTAATTAATTAAATGATAGCAAAGAAAATGATACCGGGGAATTTTCAAGTCTGATGTTTGATAGCTATTTTTCTCCAGTTTATGGAGATGATTTATAATATGGATGTCACTACTTATCACACACACACACACACACACACACACATGCATACATTATATCAAAGATCCAACTATTTAAATTTTTGTTTTCTTGGCTATATGGGAATGATTATTTTGCATTTAAAATAAATCAAGTGTCAATATATGTCAGATTGTGAAGAAATTTAAGTGACTTGATAAGTGAGATGTTACACAGGCTTTCAAAATTAAATTGGGCTACATTTATTCGAGCAAGGTCATTTTCAAGAGAAATTACAAATTAAAAATTAAATTATACTTCAACAGACATTTAAAAAAATCCCAACAACCACAGCCCCCCTTTATTTCTTTAGCTAAAAAAGGGAAAAAAGGAAAAACAAATAAGATGAATAAAGTGGAATTTTTCCTTTCAGTCAAAAATACAGTGTTTTCACAATATTGTATCAAAAGTTCCCAAATTGTAGATTCTCCTTCATCAGGTAAGTGTAGTATGAAGAGCAATTCACAGCAATCGCTCCAGATACAATAAATGCTCTCTTTACGTAAAATTTGCTCCACTTGTAAGGATCCTTATTTACTAAAATATATCTATATCAAGGAACTATAATACTGTACACTACAGTATGAAATAAATATAATCAGGAAATATAAAATGAGTCACATAAATAAAATGGCAGTTTAAAATAAAAATTAATTTTGTATTGAACAAAACAAAACAAATCAAGATAATACTGACAGATGATCTTTAGAAAATACAGAAAATTGCACAAACAATATGTAAACTAAACAACTGCAGTCTAGATATACTAATACTGACATAGGTATTTCAAACGACAAGGTGAAATATTTCATTTAATACTAAAGCAGGTGCAAAGAGAACTCTAGTTGACTTCGCTTTATACTGTACAAGGATGGCACTTGCAGAAAACACAGGTGAAAGGGTTTGCATATAAGGCTTTTCTCGAACGAAAAAAACACAGGCGTTGTGACGTCGCCTCATACAATGAGCCTTCGTCATTACAGTTACCCAAACTCTTTCCATCTACCCCTGGCCAATTTTAAGACTTTGTATGTTTAAGAATCATATAGGTATTATTTCGTTAAAGTCGCTTCATAAAAAGCCATGGTGAAACGCCAAAACTTGAATGGCTGGTCAGGAAAAGAAAGGGAAAACCAAGGGTATCACAGTAAGTGATAATGAAATATAACACTGACACACTACTGCATCTTCAAGTGCAGTATAAGTACATATAGGCAATCCTTTTTTACCTAAGAGTTTTTTTGTTCATTTAATTTTTTGTTTTTTATTTTTCCTTTTTTCTAACACTTTTTTTTTTCAGAGTGCAATTTCCAGGCTTGTGCTACGACCACAATGAAACACAGGAGTTATATGGAAATCAGAACCGCACAGCTTTCTGGCTGAAAACTCTGTACATTTTAAAAACATTTCTTTTATTTTTATTCTGACAATCGTATTTTTGCATAATATGGATTCCTTCATGTTCCAGCCTAGTTTCTGATGCCTGATTTCGGAGTTCCACTCTTTATATCGATGAGTGCAAGCCTCAGGCGCACGCTCAGATAACCAAGATATGGCAGTGTGGTACAAATGAGAATCTGGCTCAAAGTCCTTCCAAAAGGGCGGAAGAAGGGTGCGATGCAAGCTTGAGGGAAAAAGAAAACAAATAATACAGGAAGCTTATTCCGAATTGCAGTAGTTAATCAGCATCCTCATTCTCGCCGTCAGGATTTCTTTTGCTTGCCAATTTCCGCTCTTCCGAGCTCTCGTCCTCTGTCCCTCCCATTACTTCGCTCTCTTTCTCATCTTTTGCTGTTCCATCAGGGCTCCGAGTGTCAAATCTCTGCCCCTCTGTCTCCATTTCCTCTTCTTCAACCAACCTTGTCTCTTGCCTGTCAGTCACTTCCAGATATGCCTCCTCTGCCTCCCTGGTCCCACCCTCAGTTCCATCTCTCAAGATGGTGTTTTCTCGTGTGATGTCCTCGGTCTGGTCCTCTGGATCTGAAAAGCCAAGGGGTCCAAGGCCTTGAAGGTAAGCCCGACGCATGAGGAGCTCCGTGGGCTCCAGGGGTCTGCCATTGTCGTGGCTATCTTGTTTGGCAGCCTCTCGCTCCTCTGCCTCCCGTTTGCAGTAGGAATATCGGTGGTTCATGTGCTGCGAGTAAGAGCCAGAGTGGGAGAAGCGCTTGCCACATTTGTCGCACTGGTAAGGTTTCTCGCCTGAATGTAGGCGTGAGTGCTCGATGAGGTGGTGCTTGTGTTTGAAGGCCTTCTTGCAAATCTGGCACTGGTGAGGCCGCTTTCCTGCAGAGACACAAAGAGAGAGGAGCCAACAGGTTAGCACAGCATCCATAACATCTTAAACCCATAAAAAAACATTTGAAAATTCTGTATGTGGAGAATGCACAAATTTCAAATATATTTCAATAAATTGTTTGCATTACTGTCAAATGAAAGGTCAGGCTGTGCAAAAAATCGAATGAGATTTTCATGCGCAGCTCGTCAGTAAAGTCGGCATTTACTACACAGAGCCGTAGTTCACTGACAAGCTACACAAAATCGCGTTCATAATCGGCAATGAATCGTCTGCGATGTTGAACGCGATTTTGCGTAGCTTGTCAGTGAACTACGGCTCTGTGTTTGAAAATCGCATTCGATTTTTTTGCACAGCCCTAATGTAAGGTAAAACATATTTAGTACAATTTACTAAGACACATCTTTCAAGTAACCACACATATCCCTCCTTACGTGTACCTCATGATTGAATTACATTAAAAAACATCATATTTTTCTTCTTGTTTGGGATTAGCATGGGGCAAAATAAAATCCTGACTGAAAACCCCTTCATATCGAGCAGTGACAAACCCCACTGGTTTATTTTAGATATTACCGAAACAGTGCAGGGAGGTGAGGGGGAAGCCACAGTCCTGAGGTGCTATTCTGAGGCTGTCTGTGACTGTTCTGAATGCAGCCAAGAAGATCAGGTGATTATCGCTCCATGCCGCACAAGGTGAAAGTGAGGCAGTCAGCATCCCTGACAGAGTTTATGACATCATGTCTCGGGATTCAAAAATGCTTAGATAAGACATCTGCCTCGTGATGCCTTGTGTAACGCATACACCAAACACCTCACCTCCCGCACACCTTCCTCTTTTGCCAACTTGGATCACATTGTCTACTCTCAGAAAATAGGAAATTCATTCTACTCTAATCAGTGAAGTAGGAGGGACTTGCCATTTGGCATTCAGTCATTCCACCAGTAACATACTTGCCATAAAAACCCACACACTCGCCATCAGCACCAAGCACATGAACAGATGTACTATATTCTTGGCCATGAATAGCCCTGGCATGCCTGCAACACCTTCCATAGCAGTCATACTTGAGATGGTCCCCTTCCCCACCTCCCCTCATCAAGTTCAAAAATAGACGAGACGGCAGATTCCTCTCTATGCATTCCGACCAAAGAATGTAAGTGAGGATGATGCAAACGTGTGAAAGAGAGGAGTCCCCCAGGAGGGTAGGTCACATTGTGGTGTAGAAATGCCATGCACACATCAGGCTATCACACACCTGGCATAGCCCGCCATGTTGGCTTGCCAACAAAACTGTACTGACAATGTGTCTCCATATAGACTGGTGGTCCAAATGCTCAATTTAAAAGCTGTATGCAATTGTTTGTTTTGTGGTTCATTGTACAAAACACATATATGAGAAACTGTTGTGTGTGCGTTTGCAAATGTAAAGTGGTAACTATTTTTATACATTTTAGCTGGATTGTAAATATCATTGGTGTCACCCGCTAATTTTGAAATATTTCCCCTTTGAGCCTGTCAAAAGGAAGAAAACGTTACACCTTTGTCATGGCTTTGAAATGTACAACAAAAATATGGCAATGGACAGAAAAAACGTAGGTATGAAAAAAAAAATTAAAGCAGGAAAGGAATGAAAGAAACAAGAAAAAAACAATGTGGTAAAAGGGGATTACTTGGAGGGGGGATGGACGAGGGTAAAAAAAAAAAAGAGTTGTCTAAATGTGATATACCTGTGTGCTCATATTTGTGTCTTAGGAGGGAACTGGTCTTCTGGAATGTTTTGTCGCACAAGTCACACGCGTACATACCACTTTCAGTCTTCTTAATCTTCTTCCGGGCGAGAAGCGACTCGCTGTCTGTCAGGTCCTCTAGTCCTGACAGATAGTCCCCTGCGCTGTCCAGTAGCTCCCCCTGCAAAAGAAACAGATTTTAGACACGTTTGACACAATCCTAACCTGCCACAAATCCTAATCCAAACCTGCCACCTCAGAAGAGACAGCCCCTGCCCCATGTTTGATCCCAAGTCTGGACGGAGCTTATCTCTGTAACCTGTATAAGGCCTTTATCACCAGAAGATGTCTCAAAAAGGGGGACATATGGCTTGACTTACACGGGTTCTCTCAGCTTAGTAAACAAAGAAGTATGAATTCATTTATGTAACAGAGTAAGGAAATTCTGTAGACAACATTTTAGGAAGCAATAACCTTTGATAATTTATAGACATTTGTATTAATTTATTAATTAATTTTAGTTATTTAAATAAATTACACTTTGGCAAAAAGCACAATAACACTCATTTTAATGTGCTTCATCACAATTTTTTTTAAAGTTAAGGAAAAAAAAGAATACACTAGGAATTATTTTTCCTGATACCAAAACATTTAATTTACCTGAAAGCCTGGTTTCCGCTGGTACTTCCGACGTTGCTGCATCTCAGCAAAAGTGGCTGCCCCTGCTGCGTAAGTATAAGCCATAGGTGGAAGGAAACTCATGGGATCCAACCCTGGGTAAGGCCTGAGTCCCGGGATGCTGGCTTGAGCTGTAGACATGAAAGTAGGAGGAGGGAAAGCTCCATGTGGCGGAAGCGAGGTGTACATGTGCCCACCACCAAAAGGGTGTATGCTAAAGATGGGGCTTGAGCTTTTCTCCAGCTGATTTTCATTGCTCAAACTGTTGGGTCCATTGAACTCCTTCTTGATGTGGGCCAAATTTAAAGGCTCTGTTCCTGGTTCATGTGCAGAGGAGTTGATAGTGTGGTCAACAGAAAAACCATTCGGTTTTGGCCTCCTTTCTGTCTTGGAAAATTGTTTCGGCAAAGACAAGTCCAGTGGTTCCCCATGGGCATCCTCAGAAGCGAGGCTGTTAGGGGTGTATGAACTGCTATGCGAGTGTTTGGATGATGATGATGAGAGATTCAAAGGTGAGGGTGTCTCACCTCTCAAGTGGTCCACAGTTTCAAGTCGCTTTTCATTTGTCTGCCTGATGCCTGTAAACTGATGCAGTTTGGACAACTTGTGCCCTGAATCCCCATTGGTGATGGCTTGGATCGCTGCTGTCGAGTCGCCATATTGGCTCAGAGAAACAGGTGACCGGGCAAATGCTGACTCCCTGCTCAAGCCGTGGTTGATCTCTCCATTTCGCTCAGGTGGAGGAGATCTTTTCCTAGAGAAGCTATGGTGAGATTGAGCTTTCCATTGCACAAATGAATCCTTCACAAACTCCTGAGGAAGACCCACTGCCAGGGAGATCTTCCTCAATTCCTCTGAGTTGGGCTCAGTGTTCATGGCAAAGTAGGCTTTCAGTACTGACATGTGATCCTTGTAGGGGTTGAGTGGGCTGGTGGCATTCCTCTCCAGGGATGAGGGGATCACACCAGTATGCTGCTCTGAGCCGAAAAGCCCCCTGCGGCCAGTTGGTACAGTATCATTAGGTTTGAGGACAGCCTTGATCTCCTCGTTCATCTTGCAGAGATAGCGCTCATGTTGATGTAATGGAATAGGGCCAGAAAACGTCTCCTTGCAATACTGACAAGAGAATAGTGCATACTGTGCATCCCTCTCCTGTGCTTTATCTTGAGATAGAAGATCCATGGCATGGCTGGGTCTTTCTTTTTTTATATCTACAGGCCGTCTCTTAGAATCTTCTGTTAAACTCTGGAGACATGCTTTGGCTTCATTTACTTTTTCCAGTGTGTAGTCAATGATGGTCTTGGTGGGACTGTTGTGACCAACGCCAAGGAAGCCTTGCTGGGAGGCCAGTACCCGATTCTGCTCCTCCATCTGGGAGCCTAATTCCTTCATGTATGCTCTGAGCTTAGAGATCTCTTCAGGGTTGCCATCCATTTTCTGCCGGCAAACTGTGTTGTCCACAATCTGAAGAACCTTCTGAACCTCACTCATGTTGTTGATGAACGCTGGATAGCTTAAAAGATGAGAATCCGACCCAATGCCCAGATGTTGCTGGGAGTTCTGAGATGAACCGTGCATCCCTGGAGGACTACCTCCATGACCATTGCCATTGAGAAAGGCTCCTGACCCACCATATTCTTGTTGAGAAGCGATCATAAGACGGTATTCATTGAAGTCCATGGGCTCTGACTTGATGTCTGGGTGAGCAGATGGGTCTTGGAGGCTCATGGACCTGCCGTTCTCCAGTTTGTGACGGAGCTGAGCTAAGGCAGGACTGCCAGGGGAGGATGCAGCAGAGTTTGGAGATGAGCCAGGCTTGCTGTTGATTCCATGGCGTACCCGTCCATTAATAGAGATAAGGCCAATGCACTTCTTGCTACTTATGTGGGAGCTGTAGGAGCCAGAGTGGGAGAAGCGCTTCTTGCAGTTGGAGCACTCATATGGCTTTTCACCTTAAAATTATATTTTTTTTTTCAAAAAAAACAAAAAACTTTAATTATTCAAATACAAAAATAAAATAATTTCCCTTTACATATTTTACACATTAAGTTAGAATTACATTAAACTTCTTTCCCCATCCCATCATTCAACTTAATGACTGATAGGATGATGAGATCCTACAATAAAAAATAATTCTTGCATAATTATATAATTATGGTTTTAAGTATTCATCATCCATCCAGACTATACAAAACCACACTGAATTACCATTAGGCAAATTGGAAACATATTAAATAAGATTATATACATTATTGGCATTATTTTCACAGCACTTATGAAAGGAGGCTCTTAACATATTATTCAATGAAACACTTACCACTGTGAATGCGGAGGTGCTCCTTCAAATGATGCTTATATTTGAAGGCTTTACCACACTCTGTGCATTTGAATTTGCGGTTACCAGCCCCTTCATTTAGCAGTTGAGGCTGCAAGGGAGAGAAAGATTATAGAAATTGATACAGATAGAACAGTCACAATAGAGTTTACAATTCATTCTGATGCTGAAATAAATAATGTTTATTTATATTGATTAATTAAACACAGAAGACAGAATTGTATTTAGGAAAGTTTCCAAAGTTACTGAAGTGGGGGGGTTGCCTTTTATCTCCTCAGTGTCTTATTCGTTAAACTACTATCTGCATACTTTAAATAGTTGTTGTCTAGGCTTAGTCAAAACAGTGTAGGCTGCATCTGTATTCACCATTCAAAGTTAAACGTAGGTGCTCTTACTCCATTTGAAATTCAAATGTGGGCCCCAGATGCACAACAAAAACAACAGCATTCACCCTGCACCCCACACACAGACACAAAAGGTCTGTGAAAAATGTGTGGGTGTCCACAAGTGCACATTTAATAGTCACTATGTACAGTACTGTGAAGTTCTTTCTTCAGAAGTTCAGTCATACTCGTGCACATAGGCCAGTTTAAGATGTGTATTGGGGTTTCCATTTTCTGTATAAGTGTATGTAAATATATACAATGAGGCGAGCATATGATGAAATGTAAAACTAAACCTAGCAAGGTGAACCTAGGAATTAATGTTCAAAGCCTTCAGGAAAATACCTCTTTAGAGCAAATAAACAAACATTTAAAGTCATTTAAGGATTAGGATACTCTAGATCACCGGGAAAAAAAGCCATCTGGTCGTGTTTAATTCAGTATGAAGAGGTGCACATATGTGTGTATGCGTGTGTGAGAATCAGCCAGTAAGATGAGCGTGCAAGTCAAGTAATGCCAATTCTTTTCCAACTTGCCTAAATCTGCTTAAGGTTCAAAGTTGAAATCCTAAATGCAGGATATCCTGTTTTAATTCGATCAAACAACTGAGAACCCTTTTACCACATCAAAAACTTTTCCTTCAATAATAAAGTAATATAGAGTTTCCTCTTCAAAATAATTATATATCACTGCATTCTTCACAGCATGCTCATGTTGAGACCAGCCTAAAAGGCAGAATTAACATCAGCTTTCCCTGCATCTTTTGAGTTGACTCCTTTCCAACAGCTGATGCGAGAAGTCGGCAGGCCTATAGGACTCAATGTGCTAGAACAGCCCACACATGGCCAGCTGTGGGTGGACACTCAGGGGAGTATGACAGTGCACAGCTGTGGCTCCGGTGTGAAGGATTCAAGTATTAAGGAGCTTCCGGAGGAGCTTGTTCAATGCTATAGCTATCAACAGGCTGAAACATGTTCTCCTCAGACAAGTAAACAAGCTCAGAATGAGAGATGCAGCATCTTTCACAATGAAACCAGATTTCTATAATACTAAAAAAGCATGAGGAAGTAATGAGTGTGGGTATGGATTGAGGTGGGCCTCGGTTCACCTGATCACTGGCAGGCTTATGTGTGGCCATATGGCGCTCTAGCTGGGTGCGGTAGGCGAAGGTGTCACTGCACAGAGGACAGGGGAAGCTCTCATCGTTTTTCTCATGTCGGTACTTGATATGCTCCTTTAGGGAGGTCAGCCGCTTGTAGCCCCGGTCACAGTAGGGGCAGGTCAACAGTTGGGCAAAGGCATCTGGCGTCCTCAGTGCCAGATCTGGGCAAAATTGAAATTGAGTGATCAGAGTGAAGGAGGGGGGATTGAAAAAAAAAACAGCATAAGTAGGACAAACAGTTGCCATATGAGGCTATGGGATAACGATAGGTAAAGCACTGCATTCAGTTACGTGAAACAGCAAAATATGCTATTTATGTCATTCAAATAGCATTAGCAAAAATATTTTATAAACTAAATATATGCATTTTGTCCACACAAGTTAATATGTAAAATAAAATAAAATAAAACATTTTTTTATTAAATGTACATAATTTGAAATAAAAAAAATATTTCTTACAGGCCATGAAATGATTTTGCATTATTTTTATTTTAAAAAATTTGAACCTTTGACAATATAAAATAATAAGGTTATTAAATGAATTTCTAATTGCATTTGGTGCTTACTGAGTCTTAATGTTGGATCATATTTGTATGTATAGTTTAATGCTTACCATTTTCATTTTCATTTTCATCTTGTCCATTGGCCTCTGGCGTGCCCAGTCGTGTACCCTCCTCTGGGTCCTCTGGGTAAATAATAACAGTATCCTGCAGGTATTCCGCAATACTCGCTGCATGTCCCTCGCTGTCATCCAGTTTCCTCTTGGCAAAGAAGCTTTCCAGCTCTGAAGAGGCATCAATACCCTTAACTGCACAGAGGAAGTGGGGAGAAAAAGCACAAATGAATCCAGTGGTTGATGCTTAGTGTCACTGGAAAGGACCAAGCTGAACATTAGGACACTGGCCACTCTAAGTGTGATGTAGTGGAGACTAAACCATTAGAAGAACTTTCAAGGTGGAAGTATTTATTTAAGTTACAACATAATGGCCACTTCAAAGACTAATTGGAGCCAGCTTGATCATCAAGCACTCTTTAAGCATCCTCTTGCATGTTTGAAAATGCTTTAAACATTTCCAGCATTATGGGTAATTGGGTTATATGGCAATTAGGCGTGCCAGGGTAACTGATCTCACTTTGTATTGCTCATCGTATACATAAAATTGAACCCAATAATCTAATTATAGATCATGTGTTACGTGTAATTGCACAGAACAAGATTTTAAACGTGATTTTCGTAAACAATAGGTTTTTGGATGAAATACTTAAAGATACTGACAGGATAAATAGACAACTGCGCCTTACAAAACGTATATATTTCTATATGTAAAAAAATTAGGTAATGTGGGTAGATAACTAATAACATGACAAAAGTTATTCTAAATCATACTTTTTCTTTAGATGACTGGAAATTAGGTAAGCAAATGAAAATGTTATTGTTTCCTTGTAATCAATTTGAAAGTACATGGACTGAACAAATTTGATTTTGCCTTTAAACTCAATTTAGCTGCAAAATGTGATTTGCCATGCACTCGTGCTCAACTTAAAAATGTTTACTTTCCATCTCCCATAGACTCACATGAGGGAGCATTATCTCACATGTGTGCCAAGCATGCGTTTACTTATAGTTTTAAGAGATGTTAAACTCTTACATACACTGTAAAAAAAATTCAGTAAAATGTACGGTAAAAAAACGGCAGCTGTGGTTGCCGGAATTTTACGGGAAAAAATAAGGTAGCAACATTTTAGGTTTTACGGTTTTAACTTAAATTTATCTTCTTTTGGTCTTTTTCACTTCCAAAAACGGTATCCTACCGTAAAATTACATGTAATGTCCAATACAGTTTTTCACGTATATAGTAGGGGAATTTACCGTTAACCATATAACAGGTTTTTACTGTAGCATTTTTACAGTATTTTACCGTTAAATTCACGGTAATTTTTTACAGTGTAGGAAACATTTCATAATGAATATGTTCAAGATTTGGTGTCTTGATTAGCACTTGAAATCGTTGACCAAACTCTTTAAAATTAAGTTATTTATTGTGTATCTATGCATGAATATTTCAATATATTGTGAAGTTATCTCACCTGTACCATTTCCAATTCCATGAAGAGAGATGTCAGGGCTCATGGGGTTGTACTCAGCTTTTCGCTCCTCTGTAATAAGAGAAAACACCCTGTTTAATGATCATCATAACTAGAACAAAAACAATTCAGCTGCAAATCATCTGTCATTATCAGTTCACTTTTAATTAACATGTTTAATGTATGTTAAAGTGTAATTAAAGGAGATAAATGTGACAACACATTCAAAGGAAAAAGCACAACGATAGAGAACATCCTACACATCAGGAAGAGTTATATCTCAAACATGTTGACAGCAGCTCAGAGAATGATTTGCTTCTCTTAAGAAATCATGTCAAGGTATTTAGGGAGGGGAGGAGGGTGGTCTGAGAGGAGTTTGCTCATATACTGCAGCTATTGTTTGTTCCTCCTCCTCCCCCTCATGTGACCTCGTATCGGCAGTCACAAGTATCATAAGCTTCCCTCACAAAAGGAGGACATAAAGCACCACTTACACCAGAAAAGCAGGGGGAAAACAAGGGTACTCAAACCTCCTGACACACACACACATGCTTCCACTGCATTAGTACTGTTTCATTTCAAAACTCCCTTCCACTTCCTTCCTCATTATCTAAGTATGACAACTGAGAGAGCTTCTGAAAGTCGACGAATTCTCTCACTTTTCACCACATTTAAGAGATGTCATTCAAAGCAGAGTTTGAAATCATTGTGAGAGCAATGCTTCTTGAAGGGATGTTTTGAGCATCAAAAGCTTTACTAGACTTGGACGTGTTTCACTGAACAAAGTTTTAATGAAACAAGGGGGCTTGCCTTCGCGAAACTCCTTCCTGATGAAATTGTCTCCTTCTGCAATGTGTAGATAAAAGTGCAACGCCTGGAGTCAGTGAAAATACCCTCCTGAGTTCTCAGCATTGTGATTTCCTTTGAGGTACATTAGCTTAAAACTTCTTTGGGAGGTTTAGCGATTAGTTGTATTAGCATGGGGATATTTTAATGTCATACGAAGGACCGAACATCATGTGTGGTGCGCCAAAAACCTTGTTGAAGGGAAGCCAAAATGGTATCGGAGATTAATTTAGAGTAAATCAATGTACTGTGTATGAATGACAGAAATACAGTTTCCTCGAGTGGCAAAATGGCAACTACATTAGAGTCTCAGTTCTGCTTGTGGTAGCTGCAGGCCCCATGAGGTAACGGTGTGATTTTAACCACTGCAACACAGAAGTTCCATATCTCTTTAGGTGAACAATTAAATTATATTTTGTTTCAGTACTCAATTTGACGTGGACCTATTTCAAATGAGTTTGTAAATATGCTTGCAAATACTGGAGCTACAGTACAAGTGCTGATACTGCTATACAGTGTAGCAAAACAAGTACTTTACATACTTTTCAGACCCAGAAAAATATTTTTTTTTCTGTCATTACATTGTTTGGACTGGAGCATAAGAAACAAATGGGAGAAGTAGTCTAAGAATTAGAGTAACAACTTAGCAACATTTCTTTTCAACATATTATTTTGTGTCTTGTAATAAATAAAGTAGTGTCCAGAAGACTTTTAATTTAAACCTGGAAACAAAGTTTTAGGACTTTTAATAATTTTGACCCATACAATGTATTTTTGGCTATTGCTACAAATATACCCCAGCGACTTAAGACTGGTTTTGTGGTCCAGGGTCACATATATTTAATACATTGATATATACAGTACCACTAAAAAATATAGGGTCAGAAAGTTTTTGTGTGTGTGTGTGTGTGTGTGTGTGTGTGTGTGTGTGTGAAAGAAATGCATACTTGGATTCAGAAAGGACATTAAATTTATTAAAAGTGCCAGTATAGACATTTACAATGTTATGAAATATTTAGTAAAGAAAATGCTTTTCTTTTGAACTTTATACTAATTAAAGAATCCTGAGAAATAAAAATGAAATGTTTCACCATTTCCACCAAAATATTAAGCTGTTTTCAACATTGATAATAAGAAGAAATGTTTCTTGAGCACCAAATCAGCATATTAGAAGGATTTCTGAAGGATCATGTGACACTGAAGACTGGATTAATGGCTGATGAAAATTAAGCTTTGTCATCACAGGAATAAATTACATTAAAATATAAAATATAAAACGGTTATCTTGAATTGTAAAAATATTTCACAATATTATTGTTTTACTGCATTTTTGATCAAATAAATGCTTTTCACTCAAATTGCTGTACTGATAATAGAATTTGTAATGGAAATTTAATTAAAAATATATATTTTTATATTGTTTATATATATATATATATATATATATATATACTGTATATCAGAAAAATGCAAATTAGAAGCACTTCCAAAAGTCATCCTTCAAACCCCACTGTCTTAGCAAAGCATATACAGGGGACTTGAGGTGCATCTTCTCTAGCTACCACAGCGCACTGATACAAAGAGGAAGAACCACAGAAGATGATTCATGCAGTTTCTTTTAAGATGTTGCTTTTATCAACATATAACACAACTCTTTTTTTTTTCCAGAAAGCAGACTCATACCTTCATATTTAGTCACTAAAATAAAATAATGCTATGCTGCCAGAGGCGTGGCCTTCAAATAAACTCAGATGACATTCATTAATCTAGCATATCATGGTGTGAACATCAACTAAACAAAACACTGTTCAAGCAGATGACTCATCCCTGAAGACCCTGTTTAGTTCTGCGACTGTGACACTCTCTGAAGTTAAGTGATGCATATGGTTTAGTCATTAGCCGAGACTGATTGCTAGGGGTCGGGTTTTTTTCTTTCTTTTTTTATTTTTTCAAACCGGGCGACTCGCATGAGTTCTCCCTTCACTCTGTAACTGTCAGCCAGGCCCAGGGAATTGTGGGCCTATTATGTATGTAAATGGCCATCAAAATGCTAAAAATTTCATTTAAGGCCTTTAATGAGTCTTCAGCAGGGCACACTCATGCTAAATGATAGCTATGTAATCCTAATTAAGAGAATTTGTCTTTAAAGCCTCACTAGCTTGGGTCTTGTCTGTGAACTTGATCGCTTTTTGGGTGGGTGAGTCAAAACGAAGCCAGAAGAAAGGGGTGTGGAGACAGTGATGAGGCACTGAAGATTAGGTGTAACCTACTTTGTGACAAAAGTAAGAAACCAAAGTAGAAATGTGAGCTAATAGTCTAAAGGTTGCCATTACATCAAAAGTGCCAAACAGCTGCTAGGTGTTGGCCTAATAAATAAAGCTGTTCTGTCCTGGTAATATGAAAATGGCAAGGTTGATGAAAAAAGAAAAAAAAATTTAACCTCGGCTTCATATGTTTCATATGTTAATACCTAATTTCGGCCTGATATTCTCAGCGCTCACTCTTACCTGAACCATTCAGGTCTCCGTGGCACCAGACATGGGCTCCTGCCCCATCCTGGCTTTCATTTTCTTCATCCCCACGGCAGGAGAGCAGGGCATGGGCCACCCGGGGTGAGGCCTCCAGACTCTGCACACCTGCTGGACTGCCTTCGCCCTCAGAACCCAGGAGTCTGTCCTCCTCATCGGACCCTGAACCGGCATCCACCACATTTTCATAACTCAGCACTGAGGACAGAACAGAGTCCAGGTGTTATTATTTGAGTTTAAGCTCATCTTAAGAGTTTGTGCAGTTTTGGTGGTCAGGCTATATAGCTACAATCTTGACCTGCTACCCCACTTCTTTACAAATGCAGTAAACACAGAGTAATAAAGTCAGAGCAGGCCAACTGAGGTTGCCAGTGAAAAGAAAAGAAAAGAAAAAAAAAGAAAAGAGAAAAGAGAAAAGAAAAGAAAAGAAAAGAAAAGAAAAGAAAAGAAAAGAAAAGAAAAGAAAAGAAAATCCAGCAGATTGAGGCATTTGTGTAAAATGTATGAAGCCTGTGAAAAACAGGTGTTGTTAACCTTTTCTGAAGCAGTGATAATATAAATAACACACACACACACATATTAGGGGTTGAACGACTTCTGATTTTTTAAAGTCAACTTTTATGTGATGAAGTCGAGTCGACTATTCGCTGATGACGTCATTGATGAACAAATAAGTCTGGAGCTGTGACAAACACCTTGTGCACAGCTATGGCATATGACACAGCACTGCCCATATGGCTATTGCTCCTATAACAGCTCATTTTTATCAGTTCTTTTGTCTTTGAGTCGTTATATTTCTCACAGATTTCTGCTCGTTCTAAATCAGATACAGATAAAGTAGCACAGTAAAGATTACATTCATATGAATGCATTAGTGAAAGCATTTGCGTGTCTGAATTAATTCTACCTGGCAGCGTCTCGCTACTAATCAGAATCAGAATCAGAATCAGAATGAGCTTTATTGCCAGGTATGTTTACAGTGACTGAGGATGGATAATTTAGATGAACTTGATTAACCTGTGATATCTTCTTCAGGGCGAAAAAGGAAAATAAAAGTGGAAACGTTTTCACGGAACCTTGCAAAAGCAGCGCGTTACAATGGTGAGCATGGCCGGACTTACCATTGGGTTTGAGGGCCTTGTAGGGGGCCCTGCCTTTGCCCGTTTACGTTTGTTTGATTTGTTCATTATATGCCAGTCAGAATTCTGAAATTATTAGCCGCATTTACACTGCGCACGCAAGATCTAAACAGGCCAGCCGGGGCTACAGCTTTCAACTACGACCTTCGAGGCCACAATCAAACAACATAAACTGGTATTTATTATTATTTCACAAAGAAGAAGGACACACGTATTGAATTGCGTCTGCACCGATTGGTTTGTTATCACATGGCTACTTTAAACAGCTCCATTAAGCCTTTAGCCCCAAAGAGTGCACATTTATAAAGATAATGATAAATTCTCAAATGTTCACACATTTATTTCTTTACAGAGGATGATTCTATATTACTATATCAAGTTTACATTATTTAGTAAACTGATTTCCACTTTAATAAAAAAAATATAATAAACACGATTAATGTATCCATTTAAAAGAATAAAGCAGTGCTGAGGGATAGTTAGGGCCCTATGAAATCCATTTTATTTTTTTCTAAATTCCATTCATTTTTTTTCAAATTCATTTTTTTCCATTTTAATTTTTCTCAACTCCTTTTTAATAGTTACATTTAATTTTATTAATTAAAAAGCATGTCTAATTAATTAAAATCATGAAACTTATACATTTTCACATCAATTTATTAAAAGTTTAACAAAAATTACGTTTAGGGCCCTATGAAATGTTTAATTTTTTCTCACCATATTATTTATTGTTACCAAATTCTGTGTTTTAGCATGCATGATTATTTGAATGCATAAAACAACTTAATTTATTCTTTTTTTTTCTTAAAGTAGCCTTATGAATTTTGTATAAATTTTTTCCTCAGAAATTCTGTGTTGTGTATTTACATTGTTCTGGTTATCAAATGAAGGCATACAACATTAATTTAATTGATCATTTATCTTTTAATTATTGAAAATTAAGCAAACAAGATTTTTT